ATCAGTGGGCGGGGTTATTTTAGTCTTAATCTCAGCAATCACAGCCTCTAATACGTTCTCTCTCTCTCTCTCGGTTGCTAAACTTAAATCAGTAATAATTTTATTAATAATCTCTTTTTCTTTCTGCTCTTGGGCGGCTTTTTTCTCTAAATCACAAGTCTCTTTTTGTTTTTTGGTTTTGGCTTGCTCAGCAGCTAAGGCTTGTTTAATAGTATCGTAATCAGTATGAGAACAAGTTGGAACAGCATTGAGAAGGTTAGTTAATTCACTATCACTGGTTTTGTTATTTAGTTTAGTTCTGATGCGACGATATTCTTCACTTTCCGTTTGGCGGGTGTTATAATCATTATGAGTAGCATTATGACAAGGAACGGCACAAGGAGCAATAGGAGTAGCAGTCAGCAAATCAGTTAAAGTTTTGCCAGTTGGGATATCACTTAATTTATTAGTTCCTAATTTCTGGGTAATAGTAGCATTTTGAAAATCAGTTAAACCTAGTCGCTGTAAAGATTTAGCATAGTCTTCAATTTTATCTAAATTTAAACCACTTATATTACCATTGGCAGGATTTCGGTCAAAAATGTCTAAACCAGCAGCTCGGGTATCATCTAATTTATCAGTTTCTCTATATCAGTAAACTAAACCAGTAAGAGAAATAGGTAATTCTAAATAATTATCATGGGTGGGAGTCATAATATCAACTAATTTTTTGCCTCTTAAATTTAAGTAAGTTTCAGCATTAGTAATAGTTTGGTTAGCAGTGTCTAAATCAGTTTTATTTACTAATTGGTTATGTCAGTCATTAGGGATAAAGTCAGTAGGAGCTAATCACAATAAAGTTCCTAAACGATTTGCTATATCATCAAGGCGCATAACATTATTTCGATGATTTTGTAATTTAACGGTATCAACTTTATAACCAAATTTAAGACCATGAGCATCAATTCCTTCATTTTCCGCCACTTCTTTGATAAGGTCAGGTAATCCCGTAGTATCATTAGTAATTTGATGGATTAAATTATTGTGATATAACAATTTTGCTAAATAATTACCATCAGGAATATCAGTTAGTTTGGTTCTATCAGGTAATAATTGGTTAACTTTATATTTTCATTGGGGGATAGGATTGCCTTGGAAGTCGGTAATAGGATTATTATCTTCACCTAAAACATTAGCATTATTAGTTGGGTCAACTCCAATTTTATTGCGGATGAAATTAGTTAAATCAGTTCGTTCAGCTTGGATTTCTCCATAATCAGTATGTAAACAACCTCCTGCTTCACATTGATGATTAGTTATTTGAGTTTGTAAATTATCAGCTCGAGTCTTTTCCCGATCAAATTCAGTAGCGAGAGCGATGAGGTCAGTATTTAGTTTGTTTTTATCAGTTTCTAGTTGCGTCTTTTCTCCTTGGAGAGTATTATTCTG